GCAGACACCGAGGCAGCGTGCACAGGGCCTGCGCAGGTCTGCACCGGATCATTTGGGCAAATGATTCCAGTTTAGAGTTTTTATGGGATTCCTGAGTGTGTGAATGAGCGGGTCTCTGTTTCCTGTGTATTCTTTGGGGCTCTTTTTCTCTTCTTTTGTTTTTTTCAATCCCAATATGTTAGTTTTTGATTTATATTATATTTCATTTTATTATTATCCCTTTGAAGCCTGTTTGTTTTCTAATGAGATGTAGCAAGAGAGTGGATCCTGATGGGAGGGGAAGAGGGGAAGAATAGGCAAAGGGGAAACTGTAACCAGGATATATTATGTGAGGGGGAAAATCTGTTTTTAATAATAGGAAATAATTATAAATTAAATCAGATACAAGGAAAAAGATAAGATCCTTCTCTCAATGTGGTTATAGTTAAACTTGATGGTTGACACCACTAGAGCTACCTTGTGAAAACTGCCACCCAGTCTATGACATCGATCATTTTCTGGGTAGTGGAACAGAAAGGCAAAAAGGCCAGTTGTTCATCCCTGAACAACAACTCCTATCCTGTGGACTTCTGTTTTGAGACAACAAATGTGCTATTGCTTTAGCTGTTGTCCTTGTTATTTGAGACATCATCTCGCTGTGTATCCTAGGCTAGCCTAGAACCCATGTTGCAGCTCAGGCTGACCCTAACCATGTGTTCCTCCTCAGATTCCAGAATGCTGGGATTATGAGCATACCACACTAGCCCCTTGCTTTCCTTTAAGACATTTCAAGTAGAGCTTTCTTTCCTTTGCTTCAGAAACATTTCTAACCAGTGCACTGTGGGTATATGCCACTAAACAAATACAAAGTAGAATTATATATAATTATATATGTGACATTATATATGTGATATATAAAAAGGAGATCCTGATTACATGTAGATTTGGAAAGGAGAGATGGATGGGATAAGAAAACCTAAAAAGAAACAATAAAAAAACTCAAAATAAAATGAATAAAGGGTCCAAAGAACTTGAACCAAACATGATATTAGGTACATAATGTTGAACAAGGTACTTGACCTCCTTAAGTCTTAATTTTCTTATCTAAAGATGGAATGGAATGATGCCAGAATTTTTCAAGGACTAAACTTAACAAAAAGTCATTAAATAAGTTAAGTAATAAAACAATAACCAAAAATTATAAGGGTATTAAATAAAAATATTAATTTAAATTAGAAAGAAATATGAGGATAAAATATTAAAAGAAGTTAGGAAAAATATGCTGCCTTTCTGACTTTATAAGCTTTATAAAGATAAACACATATTAAAACTACAATTAGAAAATAATGTGCCATAACTTTCAAACTTCAAAGAAATATTTTCATATTTTTGGCAAATCTCCCACTAAGCTTAGAAAATATAGTGGTGTTAGGAAGAGGAACCACTGTCAAATGTGTGTTGTTATTCATCGGCCTGTCATAGATTCTACAGCCTTCAGATTGATCTCTCATTTCCCTTTCCCTGATACAAATTTTAATCCTCCTTCATTCTTTCTAGTTATTCCTGATCTTATTGAAAGACATCTAGGGTAGGGACTGGTTAGGGAGGATGGAATATTATGGGTAAGACAGAGAGGTGAGAGGGCTGGGAGGAACAGTATTCAGAATGCGTTTATACACAGATTTTTAATACCAAAGAACCGACTTTTACTACAAAGACTATTAATTTCGTACATCCTTCCCAATAAATAAGACAGTTATTTTCTCAAATTTTCTTTGCATAGATAAAATGAAAGTGGGATGACAAAGTAATTCAATGGTTTATCCCTCTCATCACACACACACTCACATACTCATATACACACAAACATACACATATACATACATACAAGCACACATACACACATGCACTCACACATGTACACATACACACACCCATACACAAACACACACATACACACAAGCATACACACATGTGCTCTCACACACATACACACAACACACACACATGCATGCAAGCACACAAAGTATTCATCTAAGCTCACCTCCCAGTAGATTATACACGTTCATTCCTTTCAGAAATCCCTAAACACACTTTATTTTACTTTGCTTGTAAACCTTCGATTGATTATTGCTAAGTATGGTGGTTACATGCCTAAAATACCAGCACTTGAAAGGGTGATTCAGGGCATCTACTGCAGGTTCAAGATCATCCTAGACTACATAGAAAGTGTCAATCTAGGTTGGGCTACATATAGAGATTCTGCCTCAATCAATCAGCCAATCGATCAATCCATCAACCAATCAATTATTTTTTTAAGTTCTGCCACACTTTTCATAGCTTGAGAGTCTTCATGTTTCTGCCTCCTTTAGTACTTGGTGCTACTTTGGTTTCCTTCCTGTGAAGAAGTGGAGTGACAGGGAAGGGTATGAAAGGAAAACTGTGAAAACTGCTGGAGTCCACACACTCTCCTCATTGTGTTGCACAACAACACTCCAGCACACCTGCCCACTCTTGACCAAGCTTTCTGTCTGGTGGTGTTTTCACTCTGAGCACATGATACAAGGAGGACCTTTGGATACTGACACTGTGGCCTTGATATGGACGTTCTGCATTAGAGTTTGCTTCAGCATCCAAAAGCTGTTACATCCATAGGATGCTCTGTGCAGTTACTGAGAGTTAGGGGCAATGGATAATAGAAAAAGAACTGTGAAAGAAAACTTGGATAATACACCTTTCTGTTAGACTTTATTTTTCTTCCATGGGAGGAATTAAAACATGTTGAGTCTGTTTAGGAAATATTGAACAAGCTTGTGTCCATTTTATTTATTTGACAAACATCTGTAAAGCACCATGCAGTCTTTTACTGGTTCTTTTTCTTTTTACGAATGGAGACTCACATCTCATTCTCACAGCCTCTCTAGGGTAGGCATGGAGAGGCTTAACAAGTTGCAAATGACATGAGGAGACCAAGGACAGGCAGGGCTCTGTGCCCTGTGGTTGACTGAGGGCTGGCTTGTCCTGGCTGTGCTGGCCTGTGTGGAACACTGTCCTGGAGACGCAAGCCTCGAAAACAGGGAATTCATTTGGCTTTTTCCCACGCTCTGTGAGAGCGGTTTAATCCAACATTACTCTTAAAACCTCCGTACCCTGATGCTGAATCCAAGTTTTCTAAAACCTGTGGCCAAAAATGAAGCAGACATTAAGTAAAAAGATCATGAAATTCTCCATCATAAAATAGACATGTCAGTATTTATAGAGACAGTGAGACCAACACCCAAGACTTGAAGAGCCTTGGAATGAGACTTTAGATGTGATTTGTTTTTCTTCTCCAAGGATAAAGGGGCTGCATGCTGAGTACCCACTCCCCACTGTTCTTCAGTTCTGTTTCCCAAGGAATAGAGGAGGTGAGTGCACTAGCTCAGCCTGCCCCACCTGCACCTCTAAAACCTGAGCTTCAAAGATTAAGGCTGAAGCCCTCGTATTAGGAAAAGCAGACCTCTGGGCAGTTTCAATTTCAGAAGTTCTAAAACTTCAGAGGGAAGGAGGAAGTCATACCAAATCCACACAGAAGATGAGGTCATCTTCCAGGCTGCCCCCCCTCCCGCCACTGAAATGAGCACAGTTCAACAATGGATGCTGATCTCTGTTTCCCACCAAGTTGAAAGGATATTGCGAATGTATTTGAGCAGATGAAACAGTGGAACTAGCGTCCTCTGAAGTTTGAAATGCTGGCTGGGATTTTTATAGACCTGATCTCAGAATATATATATATATATGTTTTGTGTGTGTGTATAAAGTGTGCAGAGCTAAAAGAAAGTATGGGAAGGCAAGATGTCACAGGGTCTTGTGTCTCCATGCAAGTTGCAGTTTAAATCACATTGGGCAAGATATGAAACATCTAGGTAACTTTCAACAAATGAGTAGATAAGGAAAATGTGGAATGTGCACATAGTGGGGTTTTATTCTGACCTAAAGAATGAACTTATTTACCGGAAAATGGATGGAACTAGAGAACACGCCAAGCAAAGACAGCCAGTTTCAGAAAGACAAATATGGCATGTTTTCTCTCACATGGGGATCTAGGTTTCTGTGTATGTGCTTATAAGATATAAAGAGGGGGGCCGGGCGCTGGTGGCGCATGCCTTTAATCCCACTTTAATCGGGAGGCGGAGGCAGGCGGATCTCTGTGAGTTCGAGACCAGCCTGGACTACCAAGCGAGTTCCAGGACAGCCTCCAAAGCCACAGAGAAACCCTGTCTCGAAAAAACCACACACACAAAAAAAAAGATATAAAGAGGGGGAAAAGGGGGCCAACTGGAAGCAGGGGTGGGGGCAGCCATAGGGAAGGGCAGTGCCGGTAGTGAATATGAGGGAATTCAGTGGTGTGTTTGTGTGTGTGTGTGTGTTTGTGTGTGTGTGTGTGTGTGTGTGTGTGTGTGTGAAAATGCCAAAATAAAACAAGTCTTCGGGTGTCCGACTAAGATTTTGGCTTTGGAACCTCGCCTTAAAAACAATTAAGGACAGAAATACACACAAGACGACTTGGTGGAAAGCTCGGCTCTCCCTGCTCTTCCTGAATGGCAAATGCTTCAGCCTCAAACTGTCACATAAATGCTTTTCTCTGTTGGCCTCTCGCCACCCAGTGGCGGATTTATTTCTACCTTCAACCTTAGCCCTCCAACCTCTCTCTTCCTTGCTCCAAAAAGATTTGGAGTCCCTACACCAAAGGTCACATCACAGGGGGTCACTCCAGGGTCGGCAACACTCACTGTCCATTGTGGGGGTTAGGAACTCGAACGTCCCAGGGTCCCCAGTGGGCAAGCAGGACCGGAGGGAGCTGCTAGTAGCACGCGAGTGTCTTCAACACACTCATCCCATGAGCCCAGGGGTGTGGCCCTGTCTTTCTTCTGACACAGGGACCTGAAGCCCCAGGAATTTCCCCAGCCCGGTGCTCGGGCTTTTCCATCCACTATGTATAAAAGGGGCTCACAGAGCCCTGGAGTCCCAGACCGCGACACAGAGCCTCCAGCCAGTTCGGGGGCTCCAGACTCCAGCCACACTTCGAATCAGCGCCATGGCCCCAGCCACCCAGCCACTCCTCCGTGCAGCGCTGCTTTTGCTGCTGCTGTTGCTGGCCACCAGCCACCAGGCTACAGGTGGGACCCGCGGCTGCCTTCCCCCGGAGGAGCCTCAGGCGCCCCAGCAGCCCACAGCCCTGCTGACCCAGTGTCTTTTCCCACAGGGGCAGTTGTGGCCACTGAGCTGCGCTGTCAGTGCTTGAAAACAGTATCCAGGATTGATTTCCAGGACATTCAGAGCTTGAAGGTGACGCCCCCAGGACCCCACTGCACCAAGACAGAAGTCATGTGAGTGTCTTTCTGGGCACCTCTGTTACTGCCAGAGTCTCCCAGACCCTCCTGCTGCCCCATGCTCACCCGATGGGACTTCCTACCTTATAACGGTCCCCCTTTCTCTCTGCAGTGCCACTCTCAAGAATGGTCAAGAAGTTTGTCTCGATCCTGAAGCCCCCTTGGTTCGGAGGATCATCCAAAAGATACTGAACAAGTGAGTGATGCTTCGTTTGCACTTTGTGAGCCTCTTGTGAGCCTCATCTGAGTCCCAGCATCTGACTCCTGAAAATTAACTACACCAGGGAAAGTCACAGAACTACCGTTGTGATTATTATTTTTATAATTGTAATAATCCTTCTGATAATTAGTCTATTTTGGTGCAGAAGGATTTTCCCAGGATCCTTTATCCCCTCCTGGAGCCTATCTCCGTTGTATAAGAGTAGGTAACACTGCTTTTTTTTTTAAAAAAATGTCATCTGTCTTGACCTCCCAACACGCGCGCGCGTGTGTGTGTGTGTATGTGTGTGTGTGTGTGTGTGTACAAACATATGCCCATTATCCATGAATCTTAGGAAAATTCAGCTTCAGACTTAATAAAAATGAAAAATAACAGCAGTTCATGAGCTCAGAGCTGCTGTGACAGACAAACAGCCGCAGTTTTACCTTTTTGAGACCCTGGGTCCCCACTTCTCCTCCACCCCGAAGGAGCACATCTACCAGGGCTGAAGTTTCTGCACTATGGCCACTGGGGCCAGGCTGTACTCAAAAAACCCAGGAGAAAGAAGAATGTTGTGCATCTGACAAAAGCATCTGTTTTCTCATGACAGCGCCAAGTCCAGCTGAGCCGGGAAGGGAGGAAGCCCTGGTTCTGATGGAGGACCTGCCTCCTAAAGCAGAGGAGAAAAGTGACCCCCCCCAAGGCCATCGAGATGAGGCTTCTTCTGCTTGCTTTGAATAACTCCTGAGAACCCATATTTGTTTATTTTTCCCAAATTCTATGTTAATATTTTATATGTAAAATAACTAAGGGTATAATTGAATCTGCTTGCAAGATGCCATCAAATTTACTGTTTATTTAATATCAAGTCTGAGTTGAACCAGTCCTCATTCTTAATTGGGAGGTTAAAGGTTTCCATATTCTCTCAGGGAATTATATTAATATTTCTGAGGCAGTTATTCCATGCTGACCATTGTGTTGGTAGCTGGGGTAGTGAATGGGCAAAGGTAGTCATTTCGATGTAGGATGAATGTGTGTGCACATCTACTTTGTACTGGTAAAAGACTATCAGTTGTTATTTATTGAAATGGTTTTACAGCATCACAGGGAATGATCAATTTGTGTTGAAGCTTTAAGAACTGCAATGTTCTATATATGCCTTAGACATTTTAAGTGATTTCTGTAAGACACAATGCCTATTTAATGTCTTAGAACTGAGAGTTTTAAATATTTATTGGTATTTTTACAAAGAGTTTGAAAATAAAATATTTAAAAGTACTGTTTGTTTTATTTCCTTGGAGGGCTAAAGGTTAACCCTAGGATCTACATCAGTGTTTCTCAAGTTTTCTTCCTGCTTCTTAGGCATTCAGTTGGTTACAAAAATAAACCACACTGTAAGTCATGTCTCTGTTCACTTGCTGGTGGCTCTCATTCCCCACCCAAGAATGAACATTTCCCGGTACTGACTCCTAGGAGATCCCCGCATCCCCACTTCTAGTTCCAGGGCATCTTATGCTCTCTTCTGGCCACCATTGTTCCCAGGCACTCACATGGTACACAGGCACACATGCAGGGTAAACATCCATACAAACAAAATACTTAAAAAAAATAAGTTTCTTAGGACCTTGCCACCCAAGTTTGTCTCTTAAAATATATAGGTTCTTGTAGCCAACTAAAAGGACCTGATTCCATTGCTTTTTCTAAGTAATTTTTCTTTCTTTTTTAACTTTATATTTTTAAATGTATTTATTTTATAACCCACCTGTAGCCTCTGCTCCCTCCTTTCCTCCCACTCCCCCTTCACTCCTCTCCATCCCCCCATCAACCCATGCCTCCTCTTTATCTACTCAGAGAGGGGCAGGCCTTCCATGGGCTTCAGCAAAGCATGGCATATCAAGCTGCCATGAAGGGAAGCACCTCCCTCTGTATTCACGCTAGGCAAGACAATCCAGCATGAGGAATAGGTTCTCAAGAGCCAGTCAAAACACCAGGGGCAGCCATGTTCCCATTGCTGTGAGTACCACATATACACCAAGCTACACAATTGTCTCATATGGGCTAGGCTGATTCCATGCAAGCTCCCTGGTTGTTGGTTCAGATTCTGTGTGTTTCCATGAGGCAGGAACCCCATTTCTGTGGGTTTTTCCATGATATCCCTGACATCCTGGCTCTTACACTCCTTCCTCCCTCTCCTCTACCTGAGCTCACCCCAAGGGTCTCTGAATATGCCTCCATCGATCAATGATTGAAGGCTCTCTGATGACAATCAGGGCAGCCACCAATCTGATCACAGGGTATAACCAATACAGATTAAACTTCTACTACTGTTGGCAATTTAATGAATTTGACAGTGAAATAGTGGCAAACTTCATGTTTTTTTTTCTTTGAAACTCAATTGTCTCACCAGAAGTGGATAAAGTAAATGGCTGAGTAGAGTATTTCACTTTACAAAAGGGTCTGAGATTTGGGTTTAATACTCTACTTTATTATGTATGAAATTACTACCCATCTTCATGCTCTAATTCTGTACATCAATATGTAAAATACTGATGTGTGTGTATGTGTGTGTGTGTGTGTGTGTGTGTGTGTGTGTGTGTATTGGGTTTGACTTTATTGGTCCTCACCCCTCTTAGTAACTTTTTTATAGACCTTGAAAGAAAGCCATTTGGCTGGGTGCTGGTGATGCAGCACTCAGGAGGCAGAGGCAGGTGGATCTCTGTGAGTTCAAGGCCAGCCTGGTCTACAGAGTGAGTTCCAGGACAGCCTCCAAAACAATACAGAGAAACAAAAAGAAAGAAAGAAAGAAAGAAAGAAAGAAGGAAAGAAAGAAAGTCAGTCTTTTAAATTCTTGTGTACAATGCTACCCAGGTTGGGAACTATGCTCCAGTTTCTAAGGACTAAATTGTGTAAAGAAGTAATCTCAGTAATCTAAAGCTATACCCCAAATCTGGAATTGGGAGTCTTTTGTGTGTGCACCTGTGAAGAATGTGCTTGTTACCTGTTTAGGGATTTAGGACTCCTTAGAAAATCCTGAATTTGGGTAAATGTCTATCACAGAGACAAGAAGGTAGCACTGGCAGACTGAGTATTACAGATCTTTCAACTTGTTCCAAGATGAACAAATAAGGCCATGAGCGGCAAGAAACAAGCTCTGTGGGTTCCCCTAACCCACACATCTAAGGTTGAAAGTTATAATAATCACTTTATCTCCTAGGTTATTGGTTACAAATGATTCAGGAAGGAAGGAAGTTTTCAAACAACACAAAAATAAACGCACTGAAACCTGTCTAAAAACTCCATAATACTAGCATTTCCTCCCTAACTCCAAGTGACTGGGCACTGGAAAATGTTTAGAAGAGACAACCCAGGGGTTCATCAAAGTCATAATTCATACCTAAGACCCTCTAAAATTAGACCTTGCTCTTTAGGCTTCAATACCCTTGTCAGTAGTAAATATAGGATACATAGTAAATTTAAGATAGAGAACATCCTTATGGTAGTGAAAACCAGATTTTAAAGTATCAGATTGTCTTTGGAGTCAATTGCAATCCTATCATAATCTTGGGGCAGCTTTCTTGGCTTCAGTCAGCCTAATTTCCCTTCCTAAATAGAATTAAGGAAGAACAAGAATGTGTCTTCTGAAATAAGGAAGAGATTAAATGTTAATGGTTCGAAAACTATGATTATTTGCTGTTGCTCCTGAGCCCAATTCCAAGGCTATGTCTCATTTTCATATAAATGAAATGGATATGAAAAATATAGTTTCCCCCATACAATTCTCCTGAGACTGAGAAGCTGCCATCTCTCCCTTCAGGAATGGTATGATGATTAAGAAGTGGGACACAGGACATGTGAGGTGGTAGTCATCGGTTGAAGGTAACAGGAAATAAAAATCATTTAGCAATACAATTTCATGAGACTGGCGACTGGAAACACTGATGGTAACGTGACTGGGACTCCCAAGAAGGGCTCCAAGAGAGATAGAGGGAAATAGATGACTGACACTCTCCTGCCCTCGGCAGCTTTGTGGCTGCTACACAGGCATCTTTCTGGGACTCCCAGAAGTAACCAAAGACCAGCAGGGATGGTAGAGGTAGAAGATCACAAGTGTGCAGTGTTGCAATCTGGGAAAAAAGTGTTACTATTTCTCTACCCATACAAAGAGTAAGACAAAGAACCTGTCTAGTAAGCATCATCTGTGCTCCCTCACTCACCAACTTTTCAACTTAATGTCTCTGTCCTCCGGCCTGAGGCTTCCTCATCTGGAGGAAAAGCAGACATGGTAGATGGATTGCTGAACTTACAGACTGGAAAAATCTGGGATGCAAGGCCCCCAAGAGCATCCTTCAACCCCCAGGGGCAGGTGGCGGGGGGGGGCAGTTAAATGAAGTCTGCATTGTTTCTAGCCTTATGGTGTGTATATTTGGCTGTTTGCCTTTACTTCTAAATGACTCAAAGAGAGGGACAATTGTGAGAAAAACTTTACAAGTTTTCCTAGTATAAAAACAAGAGGTTTAGTTGTCCACCCTGCCACCCCATCATCGTGCAGTTTACTGCTTTTCTCTCTTCTCTCCCCGCAGTTCTGCTTTCTCTCACTGCTTCTTCTTGTGATATAAATCTTTGTATCAGATTCTGCTTTCAAGATTTGAATACTTGGGTTTCCCAGAAACTAGACTTCAAGATAAAGACTTATGTACTGCTACTTTATTAATGAGTAGACTACTCTATAATTAGGGGTTGGAGTGGGGGAGAGAACAAGGAGTAAGTCAGGGAATCTATGAAATCTGGAGGGAGATACACATTGTAGTATGGCCAGCACCATCAGGGTGGAATAGCACTCCATGGCCAGTCTCAGCTGAGCCATAGGTCTCTTGGGGAACTCTTTGGAATGTTGTATTCTTATTCTGTAGAAATTATGAAACCAATTTAAACCAAGAAATCAAAGTTGCTTTCATTTACATTAAGCTCATAAGTTGCCTAAGGAGTCAGATGTTCATTTGTAGCTTCTTTCTCCCTTCCTCCTTCCTTCCTTCCTCTTTCTCTCTTTCTTCTCTTTCCTTCCTTCCTTTCTTCCTTCCTTTCTTCTTTTTTGGCTTCATATAAATCTGAAACCTGGACCAGGACACATAGTCCCTAAAATAGAGGGAAGCAGGTTTACCAGGCCATAGCCAGGCTCAGTTTCTCTAATACCTTTACCGACACTTATCTTCCACTTTGAAACTATTCAACATTTGTCTTTGAAAGTGAGAGGCAGTTAAAATTACATCCATTGTCTTCAGTCATCATTAGAAAAAGAAATCAGACAGCTTAAAGAAGAGAAATAAATCAAATAGAAACCCAATATTTTGGCAACCAGGTAGGAATTTGGGTGTAATAATATAAAACTCACATTTGAGCTCACTTCTTAAACTTCCCACTACTGCTTATAGTGCCAAGCTAGGAATGAAGCCTTTAATACATTGGACTTTGAGGTAAATTCCAGATCTGAATTATAGTAAACACAGATTCCCTTGGGGCTTAACATTCTTTGTCTGTCTCTAAATCATGCTGTGACATAGTGACATTAAAATTAATTCAATTTTAATTCTCTTTCAAGACACAGTGTCTACAAAAGTTCCTGATACATAGTGAATGCTCATTGAGAATGAACAAGGAACCTTTTTATTATTTAAGCCAAGTTTGCCTTTGGACTATATCAGGCTTATAGTGATTACATATTCTTTAGATAAATGCTATAATAGGTTAAATTGTGTCCCTTTAAAATCCATGTGCAAAGGTCCTAAGCCCTAATAGTTCAGAATGTGAACTTATTTGGAGATTCAGTCTTTAAATAGGCAACTGATGAGATTGAGTGCTATATATTGTAATGGAGAGACAAAGAGAAAATTAGGATAAGAGAATTAAATAGGTATGGACAAGAAAGGTAAAGGGGAAGTAAAGGGAGGGGCAATTTTGGAAAACAGTATAGAAACATATTACTGTAGATACTACCTGCCTGCAAGGTATTCTAATTAGATTTAAGACCCCATTCCATGAGATAGAACCCAAACATGGCACTACCAAAATGATAAGAACCTGAGACTATATAAATCACGAGGCTTGGAGATAACCTACCACTACTATTATTCTGCTAAAGGAGCATAGCAATAAAACAATTCCTAATGACATATTGCTATAGTTGTATAGTGCCTTGCTTAATGCTCATCAGAGGGCCTTCTTCCTGCAGTAGACTGGAACCATCATAGAGACCCAAAACTAGACAATGGGCAGAGAATGAGAAACTTTGAGAACTCCATCCTAAATAAGACATTTTCATGAAAGCCCACCCTTTAATGCTCAGGTATGTATGTGAAAGAGGAAGCATAAGATTGTAGCCAGAGGTGATGAATGACTCCAAGGAAACTGTCTTCCAGACACAACAGGACTGATGCACACATAAACCCACAGAGAATGTAGTAGCACACATAGGGCCTTCAGAGGTTCAAGCCAGATGGGGATTCTATCACTGAGAGAAATGGAGCTAACACCCTTAACTAAGAAGCTATCTATGGTTGATACATATGGGCAACAGAAAAATCAGTTTTCTTTAATGGAGTCTTAGTGGGCACATTAATCATATGTTAGCATAGGTCCCATGCCCAGGAACAGTTAGCCAACACAAAACAAACTCAACGGTAGTCTCTTGCTTGTTTATTTTGATTTGTTTATGTGGGGAATCTGTGTGTGTGTGTGTGTGTGTGTGTGTGTGTGTGTGCACATATGCACACACACTTTATTTTTAAAAGGGAGAAGAAAAATAGAACATAAAGTTGGTTTGGTAGGGAGGTTGGAAGGATCTATGAGGAACTGGGGGGGGCAGAGAAATATGATCAAAATATATTGTATGAAAGTTTATTTTTCATTAAAAAGGAAGCAATTGAGTTAAAGTTAGTTAACAGAATGAGCCCTGATCCAATATGTTAGTGTCCTTTAACAAAGGACAATTCGGATATAAACATTCATACAGAGAAAACACTCTTGTAAACAGGATGGCAGCCACCAGCACACCAAGTAAAGACTCCTGGAACATTTCCTTCCCTTGTAGTGCCAAAATCAACCAACCCTGTCCACACCATGGGCTTAAACTTGCAGTCTCCGGGACCATAGGGGAAAAATTGATGCCATTTAGGTCACCTAGTTTCTGCTGTGGTCACTCATCTTATTAGGAAAGTAGTGTAGATACATTAGTTTGATTTGTATGTGGCAGAAAAAGAAGCAGTCCATTTTAGATAACTAAGATCAGTCTTAAACCCGCTTAAGGGGAGAGGAGTAAAACTCAGAGTCCTTTGCTATTCAATAATCTTCAAGCCCAAGGAAACTGAGGTGTCCCAAACCTCAAATAATTGCAGTTTGCTGTTCTTGATAGGATAATACTAGGTTATTTTAGTCTTAAATCTATTTCCATTGTAGTTGATGGCATAAATATGATTTCACCATGGTAAATTCTATTAAAACCTCAGATAGAACTGTGCAAATATATACAAGAGCCAAAGGCAAATATTTGCTGTGGCAAAGTATCTTAGTTCTTTTCACAAAAGTGGGTTTTGTAAAAAAATTATTTACATTCTTATAGCTCCATTCATTGACTTTAATGACATCGATTTCCCTTGCATGTACATAGTTTCAGCTCCAAGAAATGAGAGATTTGCATCTGTTTGCTTCAAGTTCGCCTCAATCAGCTCCTAACCTCTCAAGTGAATGAAGCCTGAAAAGTAAGTCCAGCTTCCATCTGGACTTGTGAAATGGAGAGTGTGCCACTTTTCATTCTTCAATGGGGAGAGTAGAAGAGGAGAGAAAACTTTCAGGGCTGCAGACAGCCTATAAAAGGCACAGTAGCAGTACCAATTTTACTATTCAGACCAGAGTCAAGCCACAGACAGACATGGCTGCTGTGGGCTGTCTGGCATTTCTGCTGGTTGTCATCAGCCTAGGCATCCTTGGTAAGCAAGCAAGACATTTTTCTCTTCCATCTAGGTACTGGGGGAAAATTCAAAGACATGTCAAATATAATGAGGGAGGTGGTTTTGACCATTAAACAGATTGTAGAAGTGGCTAAATTAAGCCCTAAGCAGGCATGCATTTATACTGTGAAGCTCACAGAACTTCATATTGAATTAAGTGAAAGCATGCATTTGACTTGCTAGGATAAGCTGGCTACAAGAATCGATGAATTTCTTTTGAGAGTTGATCATAGAGAAATTACTAGGAACAGATTTAGGATATTTACTTGTTTATACTATGCTGATAAGAGTTGATACTTTTCAGTTGATAAAATTCACATATAATCATTAAGGCTTGAGTTGGTTTACCATGGTTACTGACTGTATCCACAGTTAAGCAATCTACTAGTCACCTATTTGCAGTTTTAACAAACACAGTCGGTGCTTAGCCAGCATTTCCTTACCATAATAAGATCCCCTGCTCAGGCTTGTGTGTTTGCCTTGTGTGTCCCATTGCCTTGGCTCCTAAATCAAAGTGAAAGCTCCATCACTACAGACTTATTTGTTCTTGCTGAGTTTCTACTCTTTTCCCCACAGCTCATCCCTGCGGCACTCAGGAGTTACGATGTCAGTGTATTCAGATATACTCTGACTTTCTTCCTCTTATGTTCATCAAAAGTGTCTGGTTGATTCCTGAGGATATCTATTGCAGCAAAAAAGAAGTCATGTGAGTAGTGGAGATGAGAAGGAGGGTGGGAGCTCCTCCGTGGATGTTTTCTAGCTGCTGTTTCCCTACAGAGTGTGCTTCCATGGTTCTCAAACTATGAGTCATGACCTTTGGAGGAAGCAAATGACCCTTTCACAGGGGTCATCTAAGACCATTGGGAAACACAGATAGTTTTACCACGATTCAAAACTGCAGCTGTAAAGTAGCAACAATAATAAATTTATGGTTGGGGGTCACCACAGCATGAGGAACTGTATTGAAGGGCTACAACATCAGGAAGATTAAGAACCACTGTACTAGATGAAGAGATGGAAGACTATGGCTTTGGACAACATTATTCCACATAGAATGGGAAAACTATTACCCAATATTTGTACTCTTGTTTCTAAAAATGACATGCATTCTTTCCAGAAAAAACTAAACCAAACCAAACCAAAACACAAAGCCCTAAGGCAGCTCTTAAATGGAGAAGATCATTGATTTCATAAACTCTGCTGGGTGGAATTAACTTTGAAGTCAATGAATACTTAAAAAGCAAAGATGCACAGACATGGGCAAGGATATAAGAATAAGGGATCATTGGGAAATCTCTGCATTATACATTTGGATGTACCAGACATACAATATGGCCTAATAACTCTAGTGATAACTATGCATCAACCTTACAGACTATAGAAAATTTCTTCTCTCCCTCTCTCTCTCTCTCTCTCTCTCTCTCTCTCTCTCTCTCTCATCTATCTCTATCATATATGGATCAATCATCTATCATCTATATATCTATTTACTATATTTTGTCTATTTATCTATTATCAATTTTCTATCCTTCCTTCCTATCTATCTATCTATCTATCTATCATATATCTATCAATCATCTATCTATCTGGATGTGTCTGCTTTACTTATCTATTGCTAGCAATATTATCATAATAGAGTATAGAATAAATGTGGCTATTAATTCACATTCTGTAGTCCAGCATGCTAGGTGGCTGTGGTGACTTCTCTGCTTGTTGGGAAGAGTAAGTGGAAGAAGAGGAGAGAAAATTCACAGGGCTGTAGGGAGCCCATAAAAAGGCACTGTACAGTACTGATTTTACCATCCAGACCAGAGTCAAGTCACAGACAGACATGGTTGCTTGTTGTTTTAGGAAGGATGGGAGTTAGACTGAAGGCTTACCTGGGGGGGTGGTCTCAGAAGGCCTCTTCTTTCAACTCAGGCTTCTGGGAGAATTAACATCTTTCTAGGCTGGTGGTTCTCAACCTTCCTAATGCTGTGACTTCTTAACATAGTTCTTCATGTTGTGGTGACCCCCAACACTAAAATTATTTTGTTACTGCTTCATCACTGTAATTTTGCTACTGTTTTGAACCATAATGTAAATATCTTACATGCTGGATATCTGATATGCAGCCCCTGTGAAAGAGTCATTCGAACCCCAAGTTGAGAACCACTGTTCTGGGATGTTGGTCCATGGTGATTTTTAATTCCCGTTGGCTTCTTCTAGGTTCTTCCATTTTGCTCTTTGGAGTTAAGCAATGGAAAAGTCAGCTCACACTGCTTTAGTCTCTCCTCCCAGACAGACTTTTTCTTTGGCTATCAGCCAGAGAAAACTGATCACTACATGGGACTCTTTTGAAAATCTACTTTCAAAAATTACTTCATTTATCTGTTCAGTAATGCCAAGTGTATCTGTAAAATCCCTTTTCTAACTTAACATAACAAAGAGTGTAACACCTCTTCATAGAATGTTGAGAAACTAGGTAGGCTTCTGCCTGCCACAAATAAAAGCATTGTAAGGGCACACATCTTGGTTACCCAGGGCAAAATTTAATTTAGAATGAAACTAGAACAGAAACTTCCAGATATGACTGGTTTTTACTGGCTGGACTGTATCCTATACCCATGCCTCCACCCCTATCCACCCTGCCATTAACTTCTTGAAGTTGGACCCTCCAGCCTCACAGAATGTGACTTTGTTTGCAGGTAAAGTATTTACAGAAGCAAGTTAAAGAAAGGGCACCAGGGTGAGTGCAAATCCAGTATGGCTGGTGCATGAGTATTTTGTCTGCATGCCACATGTATGCAGTGCCTGTAGAGGTCAGATGAGGGTACTGGATACCTTGGAACTCAAGTTACAGACAATTGTGAGCTGCCACATGGATTCAAGGACTCAAACCCTGATCCACTGGAAGAACAGCCAGTGCTCTTAGCCACTGAGTCCCTAGTATATAAGGTAGTTAACATTTGGACCATGATGAAAGTGTGAAGAAGGCAGTCATCTGTAAGTTAAGTACAAAGACATCAGGAAAAATAAGCTTGTCAATACCTTGGTCTTGAAGGCATAGTCTTCAGAATTTGAAGAAAATACCTTTTTATTACTTGAGTCACTCTATCTCTGGTATATTAGGACAGCCACAACAAAGTCTATGTTCCCAAAATCATATAAATATCTCTGCAAGAACTGATACTAGTGTGAATTCTGTTGTTTCCCACTCTTTAAAATCTTTTTCTTTGCCATCTAGATATAAAACTAAAAACAATTTCTGTTTATTTTGCCTACTTTTGAACTTCAAGTTAGTGGAATTAGACTGATTACATGTACCTTTTTAAATCTTGCTTCTGTTACTTAACACCATATTTTGTAATACATTTAGCTTGCTGCATTTAGCTCATTTATTCAGGTGAAGTAACAGTATTTCACAACAATCATAATAACAACAATAATAAACATGACTAGAATTCATTTATTCAATACACTATTGAATAAATCACAATTTGGGTTCAATCTTGGTTTTTGTTACTACACACATTCTTTATATGTCTTTATAGTCATATGAAAATTTCTTACTGAATTTGCTGTTTGTACATCTTCAACTTTACTAGTGCATAGATTTGATTATTAGCCTTCTATACATAACTGGAATGGATAACATTTCCATTTCCTTCTTCAGATGTGGCTTGTTTCTTCTAGGATTTCTGATTTTTCATAAAAACTTTAGAAGCAGTTTGCAATTTGCCATGTAGTAAGGAGACTTTCATATGTAATCCTTTTAAATTGTAGCCTGGAAATTGACAGCTTTATAAAAGTAATTGTTGCATTTCAAGATGTGGATTTGCTTCCAATCTACTGAGAACACTTCCATTCTTTTACTTTATATTTTGAAACGGGGACTCTCTATGTCCTTGTGTGCTCATTTTAAGTGACCGAGAGAGAGATAATTGTCTTGAACTCACCCACCTGGTTTTTGGGATCACAGTTATGCACTACCACACTTAATATCATACTCTAATGTCCATAAAAGATTATCATGTACTTCAACTTTATTTAAATCACAAAACCTTCTCAGTCAATGTACACAATCTTATGCTATTGGAATAATATGTTAATAAAATTTCACATTCCAGTTTTTGGTGCTTAGACTTAGCATTTCTTCATTGGAATCACCATCACCCTTTCACATGCCATCTGGGAATAAGGCAGTTTGATTTCCTCCTTTGAGAACCTTATGCCTTTTACTTGTCTCTCTAGCTTTGTTGACATGGCTTTCATGACTGCAGTTTCCCTTGGCTTGCTTCTGTGTCTTAAGGGAATATTTTCACGTTTGTGCCATTACGCACAGTGCTTTGAAGCTGATGTTTCTTATGTTGGTTAATTGCTAAGAATTTGTTACTAGAAGATTTTAAATTGTGTTATCTTTTAAATCCCTGGGATGTGCACATTGGCTTAGAATGCAATAAGATGGTCCGGCCTTATTTAAGTAACTACAAAATGCTGCTTGATATAGTGGTAGAGCTTTGCAGTTCTGTGGACTACAGAGCTAGGGAATTCATGCTCTTCCTGCTCGACAATAAAATAGTCTTAAGTGGGGTCCTAAAATCTAACAAAATCAGTAGGTACACAGCAATAAAGGGTATATGAATACATGACTGACAAGCCTGTCAATCTGAACTTTAATCCCAGGAGCTCATGCTGAGACACACACATGCACATAAACAAATAATAACTAAACTCCAATTTTAAAAGTTAGGCCCGCCCCCAAATGATGTGATGGACTTTGATGATCCCCCATGGAGGGTCTCACTATCCCTGGGGAGTGGGTGGTGGGTGGGTTGGGGGGTCAGTTGGAGGCATGAGAGGATGGGAGGGTGAGGGAATGGGAGGAAGGATATGTAAATAAGAGTGTTTCTGAAAATAAGAAAAAAAGTTAGATTAAATGTCCCATTCTACCAATCTGGTTAATATTGTTGGGAAAAAAATCAATGTGTTTAAGTGTATGCACTCCATATTGCTGATATTTTTGTGAGTGTATTTAACATATTATTAAATAAGCACAATTGCTATTTAACCAAAATACTTTATTTTTTACAGAGTATTGCTGAAAAATGGGAATTTAATTTGTTTGGATCCTGAGACTGAATGGGTGAAGGCTCTTATCATAATGATCAACACAGGTAAAATTAAGGCCAAGAATTTTCATATTTGTGTTCTCTCATTTTTATTTTAATGACAGACATGTTTAGAAATATACACAGACATGTTGTAGATGACATCAAACCCACAACGAGGTCAGAATATGTGTAATCTAGAGGCCCCCAGAGCATCCCCAGACCAACATCTCTGGCCTCCCCTCAGCCCTACTGGCTCAGAAATGACAAGGATAGACCCCAAAAGGTTATTTTAGCATCTCCCAGCAACTCCATGGCACTCCCAAGCTTGACAGTCACTAGTACACACCTTCCATTGAAGGTGACAGCGACTTGACCTGTATTATGAATATCCTGTTTGAATGTAAGGGTGATATGAAATGATTATAATGGGTGCCTTGTGTCAGTCAGAGAAGTAGGTTATTGGCCCATCTCTTGAAACAAACTTTAAGGGTAAAAAACTATGGGAGGAAAATGTTACCGTTTCTTTAAATTAAGCCCCAAATAGAAAATAGAATTTTTGAATTAATGGCTTGAGAAGGAATAAAGAGCATGAAGCAGGCAACAGGAAGATGTTTGAATTAACTTCTGAGAAACAAAATAAAAGCAGGATTCTAAAGCTATGGTACAGCAAATGGGAGAGATAGTCACTCAGAAACTAATTCTGCTTTATTTCCCAACTAAAACATCAGAGCTTACAGGTCACTCTGGGGCTGCTGTCCTGGTTACGACTCTGTTGCTGTGATAAAATACTGGTCAAGTCAACATGGAGGAGGAGAGGGATTTCTGGCTTATAGGTTATATCCTGTCACTGAGGGAAGTCAGGGCAGGAACGCTGAAGCAGAGGCCATGGAGGAGTGCTGCTTACTGACTTACTCCTCGTGGCTTGCATAGCCTGCTTTCTTGTACAAGCCAGGAGTTCTTGCCAGGAGTGGCACAGCCCCAGTAACCTGGATCCTCCCACATCATGTACTGACCAATAAAACATCCCCGCAGACATGCCCACAGACCAGTCTGACGGAGGTAATTCCTAAACGGAGGCGCTGTCTTCCTAGGTGAGTCTAGTTTGGGTCAAGTTGACAGAAACTACCCAGCATGGCCACCTTGCTAGCCACAAGCCTACTGGGGAAAGACCAGATTCAGTGGTGAAACTGTGGTTTGGGTTTCTAGATTTACTAGCTGTCACTTACGGTGTCATTCTGGATAATTCACTAAGCGTCAGAGATGCATATGCTTAAATTTGCTCCTAATTTGAGCAATCAGGGAGGCATAAATAGTCAATAATTGCTGCTGTTAACTTTCAACTTACCTACCAAATGAACTTTATTTTTTGTTTTTATTTTCTTAATGTGTGTTTTCTAAGCAGGAGTAGATAACGCTGTGTAGCTATGTAGTTATACATGTTCTGTTTGTATTTCAGGCCCCCAACTGAAGAACCACATAAGAACAGCACATCCAATGGATTCCGAGAGGCTTGGGTACCTTGTTGAATTGAGACATCCTCCAGATATTTCTTGAAACACGTTCGTGTGGATTGAGGACTGGAACGAACTCCTCTTTAATTCATCCTGGGGGCCTCCAGCAGCTTTTCTGACATGTTTATGAGAAGAGTGATAGGAATTGAGGTTATGAAACTATTTTTATGTAGTCTCAGATAGTAGGTGGGGCATTTCTCCTTTGGACTCAGTCCCTTTCTAGACCCCACTTCTTCTTCCATCCATTGTGTCTTTTAGCTTACTTGACTTTGTGGTGAATGTTCAAAGCTGACTGCTTTCCCTCCTTCTTCGTATCTTGATATTACTTTAATGGCATTTTCCTGACTGACAAACCTTTTATTCTTCAAAAGCCTTGTTACACTCTAGTATGGGACATCACAGCGCTGTATCCTAGGGTAAAGCATGCCACTTCATCTTCCGTGTCCCAGACTCAGAGATTTTCATTTACTAGAAAAACCTGAAATGAAAATATATGTTCAGGCTTGGTGGGACATGCATGCAGTGCCAGCACACTTGGGAAGTTAAGGCAAGGAGATCATGAATTCAAGGATAGTCTGGCTTACACAGTCAGTTACAGACTACCTTGGGCTATAGGAAGACACTGTCTGTGTCTGTCTGTCTGTCTCTCTTTCTCTTACACACACACACACACACACAGAGAGAGAGAGAGAGAGAGAGAGAGAGAGAGAGAGAGAGAGAGAGAGAGAAATGGGTAAGTAACAAAGCAGAGTTAATTGCATAACATAATAATTTAAAATTTTTAAATTTACTTTAGAATTTTTGGGTTTTCTGTGTGTATGTCTGTTTGTGTGTGTGAATATGGGTATGCAAACTACAAGTCAGTCCTGGACTTCTGTCTTGTTTGAGGCAGGGCCTCTCTGATGCTTTCTATTGTAGATGCCAGGCTAACTGGCCAGTGACATCCCAGGGATTCAACTGGTTCTGTAGGAGCACTGGGGGGCTACAGATGTTTTGGCTTCATGTGGATTCTGGAAATTCAGGCTTAGGTCTTTGAGCTTGAACCACAAGCACTATGAGTCATCTGCCAAGGCCAATAATTTGTTATTCACTTGAGTTAACCTCCTAGATAACACTGCTGAAGACTATAGTCAAACTAAATTAGAACCCTATGGATAGGAATAATGTTAGGAAATGTTAGACTTCCCACACTTAAGATGACAAGAACTCCATTGCAGATAAGTGAGGTTCTGGGAAACACCAAGCTACAGATGTGCTCTGATAATTTAACTTCTTCCTGGTAGAAATTCTGCATAGTCAACACTAATAAATACTAAATGAACAAACATCCACTTTCTGCTTGTCATTTCTGATGATGGAGTGTGTTAACAGATGAGGGACATTATCTTGGAGCCAAAACAGGAACACTGTGACAATCAAGGACTGTTTGCAGGCTCTGGGGCCTGTGGCTTTCCTAGCTAGCTCTTGATGTTTGCCATTGCCTAGCAGCCTGAGTCCTCTTCTTTTCCTTCAGATTCTTTCTGTTTTGCTGATTTGCATGGTAACTCACTTGCTGTCCCTAAAGTTCCATGGTTGTAATTCTTAGAGAAGATATTATTGATCATTTTGGTTCATTTGTAGACCTGTGGCCCAGAGCCTGTGGTCCCATGGTTCAAATGAGGCTGTTTGTGGCCTCTTGCTGCAGAACCAAGAAATGCTTCCCAGATTCTACAGATATATTGGATATTTTTACTATGATCTGCATCTACGAAGGCAATAAAAATTAAAGGCAGATATTAATAAAATGAGAAAACATACTTCCTCAGACGATGTTTTATTGCTTTTTAAAAATGTGGGTATATACATGTTGCATTTGTATGTGTGTTTGAGAATAGTCACATATAGAGGCTAGGGGGGACAATCTTGTTTCTTAATCAGTACTATTTTTTTGTTTGTTTTGAGACAGAGTATTTTATTGTTCTGGAACTTACCAAGTAGTGGCTAGGTCAGTTGTCCCTGGAAACACAGCGATTGACCTGCCTGACTGGCATTCCCCTATGTTGAAGTTGCATCTACACACAAGCTCTTGTTTTGTTTGTATTCTGTGGATTGAACTTTGGTCTTTATGTTTGCAAAGTGAGCACTTTTCTGACTGCACTATCTATCCAGCCCCCAAAGAAACCTTAGATTAGATACTGAAATTGCTTTGACAGTAAAAATAAAAGTAAAACAAGGCTGTGTGGTGTTTGGCACATGCCTTTAATCTTAGCACTTGGGAGGTAGAGGAATGTGGATCTCTGTGAGTTCCAGGTCAGCCTGGTCTACAAAGTGAGTTCTAGGACAGCCAGAACTGTTTCACAGAGAAATTCTGTCTCAAAAAACAAACCAAACCAAAAATAAAGGTAAAACAAGTGTTTATTATTATTATTGTTATTATAAATATATAGTTGTTTCCTGATTGGTGCTTGGTAAAGCCGGTGTTACAACACCTATTCAGTTATTCAGTTATTATATCCACAACTGCATGCACAGATCAAACACTAATTATCTCAAATAAGTAGGATATATTATTCCTTATATCATAGCAAAAATGGCAACCATACAAGAAAGCTATATACTAGCAACTATTGAGACTGAACCCAATAAAAGAACCAAAAGTACTAGAGTGTTTTAGTGTGTGAAGTTCCATATTTTATAAAGAAGTGATTGGTTGGCATGGTTTGAGCCATGAACCCATTCAGTTCAGCCTCTGTGGAGAAAAGAATAGGAACATGGCTACCAGGAACCTGCAGAGTAAGGCAGGCAATTCTCGATACAGCTGTCAGTTAGCTTTAGAGGCCTCCTAGGACATCAAGAGAACCACACTGAAAGCCAAAGGAGGGTGAGTGTGGTTCTTTGATTCTAGGAGATATGGGTGTTTGCAATAAAGCTCTTATACTACAGATCTTCCGGAAATACTGGATGTGAAAATTTTCTTTTAAATAAATAGCTTCACTTTTTGGAATGTTGAAGAAAATACCCAGAGCCCCCTCTCATCCCTTCAAAAAAGAGGAATCAGACAATAGGAGTGGGCATTTCATAGATGAATGCTTGAAGGTAGCTGGTATGTAGACCTTGACCCTTAAACCTCGTGTTCAGACAGATGGCACAGTTGTCTGTCCTAGTGAGACGAACGGTTATACCATAGATGCTTGTTTAAAACCTTCTAATATGTCTATTAAAACATACAGGTAAATGAGATAAGTCTGCCTCAACAAGGGCAATGGGTGGGTGAGTCAAGCCTGCTTTGTCTTTCGTGTCTTCCCTTAGATAGCTTTTGGATTCCATTGTAGTCCCTGTGTGGTCTTGGAACATCTTAGAACCATAAAGGGCCTCAGGAAAATGCCTCAAAAATGAATTAAAGCTGAAAGCATGCCTTCACCATGGAACTCAAATGATTCTCCCAAATAAAACCATGTTGAAGGAGTTCATGATGCAAGCTCATTAACCTCTGGAAGCACCATCTACTCTAACTAGGCCCCAAACCCACAAGAGAAACGATTTTCAAAATCAAAAGTGTTAAAGTCAATCACAGAGCCTATTATACATATTTCAAATCATTAGACATCCAAGTAGAGCTACAAACATAGGAAATTGACAAGACAGTAAGAGTTCCAACAGCATTCAGGAGCAATAGCCCAATCAAACAGGTGATAGGAAAAGAATCAGAGAATCAAGCGGGAGAGAACCCATGGAGAACTTCTAGGAATAAAAGCACAACTAATCCATGGGACATTTCATAGTATGGCTTCAGCAGTAGATTTGACTAAGCTAGAGAGACAATTGTTTTAGGAGGTCTGAGGACATTACCTTGGACACAGCAGAAAGATAAATACAGAGAAAATACAAGAATAAAAGAGATTTCAGGCATAGCATGGGAGAACCTCACTTATTTCTAAAAAGGATTCTACAAAGTGAGGAAAGGGAGAATGAGTTTTAAAAAAAAAACACTTGGTAGTTGTCTAGGACAGACAAATCCCTGTAAACAGGAAGTTGAATAGACTTGAAACAATACAAAAATTGAATTCATACCCTGCTACAAGGTCATGAATTTGAAGGTTCCAACCACCCAAGAAATGACCTTAGAAGGATTAAGCAAAATCTGCCATAGTGTCTTTGCTATAGAAAGGTGATGCAAAGAGATATCATATCTCTACAGAGAAAAATATTTCCCTAAGACATGACTGCTCTGTGTTATTTGTTCAAGACAGCCGCATGGCTATGTTATCTTTTGAGGCAGAGCTCTGAGATTATGGACACCAGAATTTTCTTATATCAGTTAAGCCTAATTGGGAGGTGGTTACAGATAAACAATACAGTTCAGTGACATATTAATTTATTATACATTTTACTAGCTTTTACTTTCTTGAGTATTTTATTGTGTTACACACACACACACACATGCGTGTGTTTGTGAAGGTCTGAAATTACCTTTGGGTATATTCCTCTATTGTTCTGCACCATATGTTTTGAGACAGAGTCTGTCACTCAACCTGAATCTTAGCAATTCACCCAGATGAGGCCAGCAAGCTCTCAGGTCTGGCTCTCTGCCCTCCCAGCACAGTGACTATAGGCAGATGCCACCATAGTGAGCTTTTCACATTGGTGATGGAGATCAAAGTTAAACACTCACAGCAATTTACTCACTGAGCAACTGTTCAAGCCCCTATGCATTTAGTGTAGAACCTATGTACAAAATGACATATTTTACATGACTTTTTTCTCTCTCAAGATTTACATTCATTTTTGAGGGAAACCTATCTTTCTTGCCATTTTGCTCATCAAACTGATCTTAATGAGTTAATGACGAAAATGGTAAAAATATTGATTAAACAAATGGCTTGAAGAAAATAAGTTCTTGTTCTATTATTATTTTTTATTAATTTTTATTCAAATTAAAAACAATTTTATTTTACAAGCCAATCCAGTTCTCTCTCCCTCCCATCTTCCAATTCCCTTCAACATCCTCTCATTTCATCCCCCCATCCAGTCCTCAGTGAGGGTGAGACCTCCCATGGGGGATCTTCAAAGTCCATAACATCATTTGGGACAGTATCCATGCTGAGAAAGTATCCCTCCATAGGAAATGGGTTCCCAAAGCCCCATTGTGCATTATGGATAAATACAGGTTCCACTGCCAGAGGACCCATAGACTGCCCAAGTCCCCCAACTGACACCCACATTCAGGGGACCTGGTTCAGTCTTAAGTTGGTTCCCTAGTTGTCAGTTTCAGGTCTATGAGCTCCCACTTGCTCAGGTCAACTGTTTCTGTGGGTTTCTCTAGGTATTGACCTGTTTGCTCATCCAGGAGTTTGGCTCAGTGCTTAATTGTGAATCACTGCTTCTGCTTCCATCAGCTACTGGATGAAGGTTGTATGACGGCATTTAAGGTAGCCATCAATCTCATTATAGGGGAAAGGCATTTAAGGTAGCCTTTCAACTATTGCTTAGATTCTTAATTGCAGTCATCTTTGTGGATTCCTGGAGATTTTCCTAGTGCCAGGTTTCTCGTTAAGCCCATAATGACTCCCTCTATAAAGGTATCTCTTTCCTTGCTCTCCTTCTCTGTTCTTCCCCCAACTTGACCTTCCTGATCTCTCATGTTCTCATCCCCTGTCCCCTTCTCCTCTCTTCTTTCTCCTCCCTCCTTCTCCCCTCCCCCCATAATCACAATTTACTCAGGAGATCTTGTCCCTTTCTCCTTCTTGGTAGGTCCATGTATATCTGTCTTAGGTTCCTCCTTGTTTACTAGCTTCTATGGGATTACGAATTATAGGCTGGTTATCCATTGCCTTATGTCCAATATCCACTTACGAGTGAGTACACACCATGTTTTTCTTTCTGTGTCTGGGTTACCTCACTCAGGATGGCTTTTTCTAGTTCCATCCACTTGCCAGCGAATTTCAAGATTCCATTGTTTTTTCCACTGAGTAGTACTCCATTGTGTATATGTACCACATTTTCTTTATCCATTCTTCATTGAGGAGCATCTAGGTTGCGTCCAGGTTCTGGCTATTATAAATAATGTTGCTATGAACATAGTTGAACAGATGTGCTATTGGTTTGAATGTGCATCCTTTGGTTATATGCCTAAGAGTGAAATTGCTGGACGTTGAGGTAGACTGATTCCCGTTTTCTTGACAAATCACTACACTGATTTCCAAAGGGGATGTTAAAGTTTTCATTCCCACCAGCAATGGAAGAGTTTTCCCCTTTCTCTAATCCTCGCCAGCATAAGCTGTCATTGGTGTATTTGATTTTAGCCATTCTGACAGGTGCAAGATCATATCACAGAGTTGTTTTGATTTGCATTCCCTGATGACTAAATATGTTGAGCAATTTATTAAGTGACTTTTTGCCATTGAGAGTCCTCTATTAAGAATTTTGTATTTAAATCTGTATTACATTTTTAATTGGATTATTTGGTCTTCAGTTCTTTGTATATTTGAAGATTAGCTCTCTGTCATATGTGGGGTTGGTGAAGATCTTTTCCCACTCTGTGGGCTGGCATTTTGTCTTGTTGTCTGTGTCCTTTGCCTTTCAAAAGCTTCTCAGTTTCAGAATTGTCAATCTCAGTGTCTGTGCTACTGGTGTACAGGAAGTGGTCTCCTGTACCAATGCATTCAAGAGTACTTCCCACTTTCTCTTCTAAGAGGTTCAGTGTGACTGAATTTATGTGGAGGTCTTTGATCCATTTGGACTTCAGTTTTGTCTATGGCTATAGATATGGATCTACAATCTTCTACATGTCAGCATTCAGTTATTCTATCACCATTTG